CAGTTTGCGCAGTGCTTCACGAAATTAAGGTAGACATTCATTACAATACAATTTGGTAAAAGAGGAAACGTAGGGCCCTGCTCGGTAGCGCTTACCATCTAAGATTTATTTATTTTTTTTATATGTTCCATTACCATTGGTGGGTCATGTAATCCAATTGTGCTGTGTGTCTATGTAGTTTACACTGCTGTAGATTAGATTGGAAGTAAACCAGTAGAGTGAGATGACGAAGGCTGCCTGTAGTGCCCTCTGACCTTCTACTGTATCTCTGCTTCCCTTCTTAGTTGGTGATTATGGGTAAAGCGTGTATAATGCCTGCAGCAGAAGGTACGGTGGAGGTGTTGGCCAGTGCAGCTAATCCAATGCTTCCTTTCACTTTCTAAACTATAAAAATGGCAGCAGGATGTTGGATGCTATAGGCTTCTACTCCCATCTCCATCCGCCTAGGACATCATGGTGGTCTGCATTAATAGAGAATTCATCACAGTGTTTGAAACAAGTCCTGTTTGATTGCAAAATTTTAATTTTTTTTTTTTTTTTTTTTTTTTTTCCCCAAAATAGTTTTTTGCCCTTTTTTTTAATAGTCTATTTTAGGAGTGAATGGTTTGAAATTTCTTTGTTTTAGAAACTTGTTTTATGAAAATTTGTCTTCCTTGCTCCTTCAAATGTTCTCATCACCACTGCACACAATGTCAATTTTTGACCCCCAAGTTCTCAAAATGAATATCTTCAAATAAATTCTACTACTGTATGACAATTTTATATTTTTTTACTTTTTTTTTTTTTTTATATTCTAGATCGGGTGTCGGCAACCCGTGGCTCCGGAGCCGCATGCGGCTCTTTTTCACCTTTCCTGCGGCTCCGGAGCACACTGCCCACCAGGTGACAGGCAATAGGGTCGGCAAGCCGCGGCTCTTTTAATGCAGCTCTTCTGTGTGCCGGGCGCCCGCTGGCAAACATTGGCTGTCAGGATGTAGGCGGGGCAGCCCGGATGTAGGCGGGGCAGCATGACGAACTCCTCTCCTCACAGTCCGCCCTGAAGACCAGAACGGCGCGGGAACCCAGCGAGAGGAACGCGCGGAGCAAAGGTAAGTGAATTGACACAATATGGGGGATGAATTGCTCTATGGGGGATGAATTGCTCTATGGGGGATGAATTGCTCTATGGGGGATGTATTTTCAGTTTTAAAAATGTTTCTCTCAAATAAATTTCAATCGTGGTTTTGGCGAGATTTGGCTCAGTTGAAAAAAAAGGTTGCCCACCACTGACCTAAGGCTATGATTGTGATTATGACGATACACTGTGGCCCTGATTAACCCTATGCTTACTGGGCCCTTAAACCCCCTTCATGACCAGAGCGCTTTTTGCAATATATGCAGTGTCGGATTTGTTTTAAATGTTGCAATGGTTTTTCGGCTCCCAGTCTTTTTTTCCCTCTCGGAAACGGGTCCAAGTGGCTCTTTATGTCTTAAAGGTTGCAGACCCCTGTTCTAGAGCAATCCATTCCAAACTGCATACAGCTGCTTCAGGCAAGTTTGCCATCAGTGCAGTGTATGGAAACTCTTATGGAGTAGGGCTTTTGGACCAAGTGTCCTGACATGAAGTGTACATGTCATTGTATGAGGCCTCATTCACACGGGGATACCTAAGCGTACACCTGCGCGAAGGGCTGTTTGGCTGCATTAGGATGCTATGGCTGCAGGGACACAGCTACTGCTCTCAATTTGACATTCACATGGGTTCAAGTGTGTGCATGTCTCTGAACATACAGTGAATTTTGAGGACCTGCACTCACATGGATGTCAGATTGGGTGCAGTGGCCTCTTCGACATGAAGAGGACTGCCTACTCGCGGAGGCATGGGACTCCTGCGCTTCCCTTGCGGGCAAACACAGCCCTTTGCGCAGGTGTATGCTTATGTACGCCCATGTGAATGAGGCCTAATCGTACCACATGAATCTTCTTCCAGAAGGAGATCATTCTAGGGATGCACCGAAATTTCAGTGGCTGAAATGTTTCGCCGAAAACACTCCTTTCGACCGATATGGAAAAAAAGCACCGATACAGGTGCCAAAAAAAAAAAAAAAACAACCCACTGTCGCCCCTTGTCACTGCTCGGTAGTTCTTAGCCTTACCTGAGAAACCAGCGAACGATCCCAGCGCTGGGCATACAGATGAGTGAAGGTTAGATGGCCTCCACTCATCTCTATGCCCTTGGAGGACTGGAGAAAATTTTTTATAAAGTGCCCGTCTCACCGTGCTTACAGGTAGTAATGAACACATATGTAGACCACGCCACATATGTAAGTGGTGTTCAAACCACACATGTGAGGTCTCGCCATGAACGTCAGAGCAAGAGCAATAATTCTCACACTAGACGTCCTCTGTAACATTACACTGCTAAACTGTAGAAATTATTAAAGCATCACCCATGGAGAATTTGAAGTACCGAAGTTTTATGCCATTCCACGAGCGTGCGCAATTTTAAAGCGTGACATGTTGGGTTATCTATTTACTCGCCGTAACATCCTCTTTCATATTTTACAAAAAATTGGGGTATTTTTTTAAATCAAAGTATAATAAAAAGTGTGTCTCGTGTGTGTGTGTCCTGTGTGTGTGTCCGTCCCCCCGTCCAAGTGCATTTTGAGTTTTCAGTTTTAGCACCAGAATTTTCATTTCGGTGCGCCAATAGATCGTACCACTACGGACCTAAAAACTGGGGAAATTTTATCACTGTGGACCAAAGAGTTCTGAAGACCAGGCTGGTTAATGTAGGTTTGCACAATATTTGTTCTGCTCTGAAAATCAAATTTGGCCAACAGATGAGATATTCTTCTGAACACTAAATCAAGGGTATCCTTGAAGTCTGCTTTGATCTTCCATTCAAGGCCTTAATGTGTAAAGCTTCATGTAATTTATGTGGCACAATGCCTGATCTGTATAGTTAACATGTACTGAGACAAATGTGAAGATTGCTATTGCTGACCTACTTCTGAAAAGGCTACTTGTCCAGTTGTTGTTGTCATTAATATCTTCAACTAGACCATGATCTGAAACAAGCAGCCAAAATGGGGAAAGTTGATTTGAAGTCCACCTTAGATCTGCAACTTGAAGCCATGATATCACATTGGCAACCAGGGAACTAGTATGCTCCAAAAAGCCGTCGGCACTGGCAGCCTCCATACTTCCTGACTGCAGGATTCCTATATAATAGATTTGCAACAACCCCAGGCAAGTCAAACGAAGCACACTAAGGGGAGGTGAGGACACCTAGTGATTCTGCCAAAAAGTTCTTGTTTAGTAGGTACTTCCTGTTATGAGGTGACAACTGTCTCCAAAATTGTGTCCTCACTGTGTCACACTCTTGCTTGTTGGCGACAAGTGGCCATGGCTTGTTGGCGACAAGTGGCCATGCTTGTTGGCGACAAGTGGCCATGCTTGTTGGCGACAAGTGGCCATGCTTGTTGGCGACAAGTGGCCATGCTTGTTGGCGACAAGTGGCCATGCTTGTTGGCGACAAGTGGCCATGCTTGTTGGCGACAAGTGGCCATGCTTGTTGGCGACAAGTGGCCATGCTTGTTGGCGACAAGTGGCCATGCTTGTTGGCGACAAGTGGCCATGCTTGTTGGCGACAAGTGGCCATGCTTGTTGGCGACAAGTGGCCATGCTTGTTGGCGACAAGTGGCCATGCTTGTTGGCGACAAGTGGCCATGCTTGTTGGCGACAAGTGGCCATGCTTGTTGGCGACAAGTGGCCATGCTTGTTGGCGACAAGTGGCCATGCTTGTTGGCGACAAGTGGCCATGCTTGTTGGCGACAAGTGGCCATGCTTGTTGGCGACAAGTGGCCATGCTTGTTGGCGACAAGTGGCCATGCTTGTTGGCGACAAGTGGCCATGCTTGTTGGCGACAAGTGGCCATGCTTGTTGGCGACAAGTGGCCATGCTTGTTGGCGACAAGTGGCCATGCTTGTTGGCGACAAGTGGCCATGCTTGTTGGCGACAAGTGGCCATGCTTGTTGACCTTGCACAGGCATGGTGCAACATTGTCGCCATCAGGAAGCAGATCCAGCACATGCATAGTCAGCCGTGTTTTACCATCAGGATCACTCCCCATCCAGGAAATGCCTTGTAACCATCTTTCGAGTAAATGCATGTAGACTGGAAGCAGGGCCGTCTTCATAGCGTCATGGGCAAAGTAATGCACTGGGCCCCCTACCAACCTTTCCCAAATTAATGCACCTACTCTCAAGAACTAAAGTATAAACAGTTGATAGAATTAAACATATTTAATATATACATTTTTTTTTTATAGATTAATACTACTCTCAAAAAATGCCATAAATCAAAGACTAATCAACACAACCAGTCCTGGGACTTTAAATGAGGCACAACAGCAGGGGCGGACTGACAACTCATGGGGCCCCCGGGCAATAGGGGATCATGGGGGGGGCCCCTGTGTCCTCACCCACACCCAAAAAAGCCTATGAAAAAGGTACCAGGGCATCGCATGGGGCCCCCTACTGACCCAGGGCCCTTGGGCAGTGCCCGAGTTCCCAAATGGTCAGTCCGCCCCTGACCAACAGATAACTATTCATTTTTAAAAAATTGTTGAAAACTAAACTTCTTATTTTGGAATCTATGCAAGCATCTCCTATCTCTCTCAATGACCAGGCTAGATCAGCATAGACCGTAAATGTATCTGAGTCTGGTTTGGATTTTACCTGCCCGTCCACTTGTCCAATCAAGGACGGATTTGTAGATCAGTTATATTTGGAGATCTAAGCAGCTCTGCCATTAGAAATCATGGAGAAGACTGTCTACGGCTCTTCTGCTGCAAAGGTTTTTATAGCTGCCATAAAGGCACAATAACATGTAGGTTACATTTCTGTTAGTTGTCAGGATTTGCTCTTTAAATCTTAAATACATATATTGAAAATGAGATTATATCTTTAAGACTGTACAGATCTTCTTTAATATGTTCTCTCTCTTCTTGTCCACAGCAGTTGTACTCCCAAACTGGTCTTTAATCGGGTGAACGGCAAGCACACCCCGTCTGTCAGCCCCCCTGCAGAGGAGGAGGTGTACACACCGGCACACGAGGAGAACGTGCGTTTTGTATGCCAGGGTAAGTGTGGTTTCACACCCCCCCCCCCCACTTAAGCTGGTATTACTATAAATCCATGTGTGAACGATCCTGCACCTTAAGCTGAAGGAAAAGAAGCTCTGAGCCATTCTGGAAAATGCACCATGAAATCCAATCCTTAGATTGGCTCTGGCTTAAAGGGTAATTCCAGCCCTTGCCCCTAGTTTGACACCTTGCCGAGTATACAGTATGTTCTAAAAGGATACCTGTCATGGGAGGGAAATGCAAGCTTCCATTGCCTCTGAAAATGCTAGTTGCTTGGCTGTCATGCTAGTGCAATGATGTCAGTACTGTCTGCATCCATTACTCAGGACTAGTATAGTGTCTGACAGTGCGAGGCTCCCTCACTAGATGGTCAGGAAAAGGACACAGGGTTTGCACAATTTGCTGAGTCCAGGACTACAGAGCATTGATTTATTATAATTTTTTTTTTTTTTTTTTTTGAGTGAAGAAAACTGCTTTTGCATCTTTCTCTGAATTTTAGTATTTCTAAGGGGCTCTGTAGTTTGGAGACTTCAAAGCGCCCTGGAAGGGAAGAAATCTCCAACCTAGTGTCCCGGTGTTGTGGACAACCAGCAGGTGGTGTTGCTGTATCCTGGGGGGGGTCATCAACCAGTAGATCTTGGCCAGGTGACTGGTAGATCGCGGTCTGGGCCTGCTGACCCGCCATCCCAGAGCATCAAACTGAGTGCAATGCAGAGGGACTACCTGTAAAGTTAAAGCTGTAGTAGGGAGCAAGAGCCGCATAAGCCGATGTCTCCTCTGTAGTGCCGGCTCCTGCGCCCTGTCATGGTTGGGTGTAGCACCTGCCAAGCATGACCCATTCAAGTGAATGACCCCACTCTGCAAGTGCCTTGCAACCTTGTACAGTAAACAAGGGAGTGCCGCTGCTGGATGCAACCAAGAGCTCATTCATAAGTGCAGCAGGCACTGCTGATCCCCTGCAAAGTGATCCAAGTGTGTTTGACAGGTGGTGAGGATGCAGTACGTTGCCTCCTCACTATTTGAGTTCAACCCATGATTGCCATGCTATGCAAGTAATTGTGACGAGGTAGTACGACATTAGAGTTTTTAAATCAGGTGTGAGGAGGTGACGCTGGGCCTGGGGATCTTTGACTTCTCCCCTGGTGTTCAGGTAGATCTCCAGCTCTTTAAGGTTGCCAACCCCTGCTATAGCCAGTAGGGAGCTGTAATCCTGGCCAGGGACCAAGGCAAACCACCCAAGACAGCACACATGCGAGAGAGGTTCAGACAAAAAAGTTAAACGGTCAGACTTGATGGACCACTGCATTCCCACTGAAAAACAGCCCTGGTTTTAGGTCAGCGGACTAAGCCTAGGGTAGCCTATAATTAACTGATATCATTTTCCTAGTGATTTTCCATTGGCTATAACAAAAAAGCTTGAAGAATGAATACACATGTAAAGCACCTGTAATACTCTTCTAAAAACGCCTGCATACATTTGCAAAAAATGCTCAAAGAAGCAGATCTGAAAATTGCTGTGCTCAGGTGAGAATGCAGGCCTAGTGTGAAGGTCCGCTCTAAAGGGAGGGGGAGGTATTTTGTTGGCCAAATCAGGAGCCAGCAACTGCTCCTCCATAAATACAGTAGAGTGAGTAAACATTGTCCTCCGAGGACAGAGTGTTACTGGTTGGCTCACAATCAGGGGCGGACTGACAACTCATGGGGCCCCCGGGCAATAGGGGATCATGGGGCACCTGTGTCCTCACCCACACCCAAAAAAGCCTATGAAGGGCACCTGGGGCCCCCTGCTCACTCCAGGTCCCTGGGCAGTGCCTGAATGGTCAGTCTGCCCCTGGTCACCAAATGAAAATTAAAAGTGAGTGGGGGAGCTAATGCAGGACTGGTAAGCTGAAATACATTACTTTCTTCTCTTGGGTTTAGATACACTTGTAGATGATCCACCTACGTGAGCCTCTGGTTACAGAACCTTGTCTTTTGTAACCTTCACATAGGGGTTGACAGTCTTGTTCCTCTACATCAGGATGTGTCACCTGTGTGGGTTTATACAATACGTCTGGAAGAGCCTGTGCAACTTGTGCCAGACCAACTCCAAGGCTTGTTTACATAGCTGCGAGCTTTCATTGTCTCTGGAAAAGCAATGGCACAAAGAACAAGAACGATGGGTTTTCTAGAGGTGGACTTTAAAGTGGTTGTAAACCTCAGACATGACATGTGAACAAAGCATGCCCCTCTATAGTGTGTCTCAATCCAGAGCACGAAGTGTCATTTCTGTCCGCTGCCTCCTTGTCATCAGCATGAATCCATTCTCAGTTTTCCTGACACCAAGAGAAAAATGGAGATGGGGAGGGACCTCCAGCAGATTCCACACAGCTCACAGGAACAGAGCTGAGGCTGGGGGGGGGGGGGGGGGGCCATGTGCCTTTCCTTCGCTTCCTTTCCCTCCCCTTCCTTTCCTTTCCCTCCCCTTCCTTTCCTTTCCCTCCCCTTCCTTTCCTTTCCCTCCCCTTCCTTTCCTTTCCCTCCCCTTCCTTTCCCTCCCCTTCCTTTCCTTTCCTTTCCCTCCCCTTCCTTTCCTTTCCTTTCCCTCCCCTTCCTTTCCTTTCCTTTCCTTTCCCTCCCCTTCCTTTCCTTTCCTTTCCTTTCCCTCCCCTTCCTTTCCTTTCCTTTCCTTTCCCTCCCCTTCCTTTCCTTTCCCTTTCCTTTCCTTTCCTTTCCCTTTCCTTTCCTTTCCTTTCCTTTCCTTTCCTTTCCCTCCCCTTCCTTTCCTTTCCCTCCCCTTCCTTTCCTTTCCCTCCCCTTCCTTTCCTTTCCCTCCCCTTCCTTTCCTTTCCCTTCCCTCCAATCAGCTCTCAGAGCTTCTCACCGAGCTCTGCAGTGTGTGACCTCAGCTCTCCACCCCCTTCTTTATAAAGTCTCAGACCAGCTGTAAATTCAGCACTTTGAATGTCTGTACAGAAGAGAATACTGCAGATAAATGGGTACAACGTAAGTAGGATTTTTTTTTTTTTTTTATCACTTTGCTTCACTAGGAATATGTAAGGGTTTACAACAGGGGAACGCAGCCTGTGGCCCTCGACCTTAAACCAAGGAAGCACACTACTATTGTATCCTGCGGGTTTGGTGCACTTTCTGAAAGCGCACCAAAACTCCTGAATGCAGAAGTTTTTGTCTGCTTTTCGTGCACCAAACCCGCAGAATATAATAGAAGTCTATGACAAAGTGCAGGAAAGCTGCAGGTGTAGATAAACCGGAGTGCTTCAGTGTGAAAGCAGCCTTATAGGGGACTCAAGACCCCCCCCCTCCTCTATTTTCCAGGGGGCCCGTGCAGCATCCCTGCCACATTCTGTTTTACACATGGACAGGAGGGGTGGGAGCATGTACAGGAACTGATCCTCTCCATTTTTCCTCCTGCAGCTGCTGAAAACCAGCTTCTCTTTCCCGCCGGCATTCAGCATCTTCAGGAGGAAAATGTTCAATTTTCTATTCTGAACCATTTCATTGTGGCTCGTGACTGGTTACCAAATCACTTAAGTGATCCTCACTGTTCAAAAGGCTGAGCACCCCTGATTTACAACCACTTTAAGTAAACGGTCATAAAAGACTTGGGCTAATCTGCTCGCTTTAGTACCTTGCTAACCTTCCTGATCTATATACATTTGGAAGAGTGACCGAAAACAAAATGCAGAGAGAGTGCTGATTTTTGAATCCCTGAGCAAAGTACTGAAGTCAGAGAGCCAGCATAACAGCCATTGCATTGACATTCTTTGGAAGTCCGTGTTGTTGTGTTTTTTTTTGTTTTTTCCTGGTTATACCAGTCCATGTTGTTTATAGTGGGCTCCTATATCCATCCTTTTTTACTATTTTGTCATCCACAGCCTGGCAGGAGGTGCAGCATCAGTTGGAGAAACCAGAAACTAAACGGATGTGGACCCCAACAATATCAAGATCAGACTACAGATTCCTCTATTAAGAGTAAGACCATGCGATCCTTTATACATTTTTATGACTTTTTTTAGAGAAGGGCGTCTGACTGTACAGAATGACTTCTGTCTTGTTGGCTTCTCTGGTGTGACATTAAACCCATCACTCCATTGAAAGCACTGACCCTGAACTAATCTGGGGGTTTCAATACACTAACTAGTGGGTCTATCCAATAAATCGGTGCACAGGTGAGTGTTGTTGCCTACAGCAACCAATCAAAAAAAAAAAAAAAAAAATCTGTTAATTGACCTTACAGCAGCCTTTTGAAATTTGATTGGCTACTGTGTGTCATTACACTTGCTTGATGTCCTTCATCGCATACTGTGTTCATTCAAACTGGTCATCCAGATGGCCTATCCCAAACCAAATACTGACCCCCGGTTCACATATGTGGCCGTGTTTTGCATGGGCACGGGAGCCCATTCATATGAGTGGACTCCCGTGACACGCAGGGTAGAAGTCCCTGCACTGCTTTGTAAAACGTAGCCCACACGGAAACTTTGGTTCCCAGTACGGTTGCGTTTTCCAGTGCGGGTGGCGTGCCATTAGAACTAATGGCACCCGCCCACGGGTCCACATTTCTCTGTGCAGGTGGTGCAGCTGCATGGATTTTCATACAGATCTGCAGCGCACCACCCGCACAGATGTGAACCTAGCGTGATACTGTAGCTTCAGCTGTCACAAGATGGCAAAATCATTTGATCTAAACCTACGTACCCTTCTGATACGATCCCTGCCTTGAGTTCTAGAGACACTGTCACTTTCTCATTGGCAGTGAGGTATAATCACTGATCCACACTATCTGCTGGAATGGAAAGCTATGGTGTCAAAGCCTAACTGGGTGAAGGCTGCAACTGATTTCCCCGCCCCAGGGTTGGAGATGCAGTGAGGGATCGTGGATGGATGAGTATACCTTGCTGGGGAAGTTGGGAGCCACGGTCGCTTTTTTTTTTTTTTTTTTTTTTTTTTTAAAGGTATACTTTTGTATAAAGCATTTTTTGGGGGAAAAAAACCCCCCAAAAACTTCAGCTGTTCATCCAGACATTGACGTCGCCAATGAGTCAGTGGCAGACGTTAAGGTGGCATTATTCCATTTTATCCAGAGGAGGGAGATTCTCCATTTATATTGGCTGTAAAGCATCCATCCATAAAGGAGGCCTCTGGCTGGACCACACCTTAAGTCTGTATACCACCCAGAGGGAGGAGAATCCGTAAACTGCTTATCTCATCCATCCCATCCTGAGAAGGGGACCTCTGGCTATATTGTCCACATGTGTATTTAAAATACGCATCTGGTGAGTGCGTATTTTTGCTACACATCTGGCACATCACTGAAGTTTGAAGTTATCAGCCTTTTACCCAGCACTTTTAGCACAAACTGTCACTTTATTTGATATGTTTATCCTTTTAAGTGTTAATATTTTAGCGCTGCACCTTATTATCCATCCAGACATTGCTGTAGTGCATCAGTCCAGCCCGATCCTTTGTCTGTAATTTTGTGATCCTGGAACACGCCTGCTGGTGATGCCGGAACACCTACGCGCTGCCCCTCACACACAGAACTGGGGGTACAAAGGCACTTCTCGCACCCATTGATCAAATTCAGACTTGCCTTAGAAGCCTGAATGTGATTGGTGATGCAGGAAACAAAATAAAAGGAAGTTACACTGCACAGGTTTCAGAAAGTACCCTTGCACCAACTGTGAGGAGGTCTGCTCGTACTATGGGTACAGTAACTGCATAGAGACCTTTCATAAACTAATTTTGCGTGAATGTTCTGATTTTAGCACAGCTACAGTGCTGTAATGGATCATTTGTTCATCAAGTGACTTTCATTAGTATCCTGGAACTAACTCTAATACTGACCTGCAGCAGTACATATACTGTGGACGGGCAGCTGGTACAAGCACTGTAACATACCTGTACATCGCGGCTTTCTTCTGGGTTAGGGGCACGTGTGCCCACCCTCCAGCTCTTGGTCAGCAGGATTCATGGCTGGGACCTGCTGATTGGCTGTGTCCAATCACAGCCCAGAGCCCTGTGTTGTCAAACAACACAGGGCTCTGTACAGTGGAAATGATCTGTGTAGTTTTTTTTTTTTTTTTTTCTGCCTGCAAAGTAAAAAGCAGCACCCATTACACACTGTTAGGAACACACACCCCATGATTACAAGATTTAAACCTCTTCCCAGCAGGTTTCACACAGTGTTGGGATTTACATTAGAAACAAGAAAAATAACTGATGCCCCTCCCTCTTTTTTTTTTTTTTTTTTTATGATCTCTCTGCAGATTTTGTCCCTATTGATCTGGAGGAGTGGTGGGCAGAACGGTTCCTGGCAAACATTGAGAACTGTGCCTGAAGGACAGACACCCAGACTGATCTCCCTTTTATTTAAAGAGAGAGAACATGCACATCTGCCTCCCCCGGTGACATGACAGCCATTTATAGACTGCGGCCTGCTTTTCCATAGTGGAGCCCTAAAAGCTGGACACACCCACGACGTGAAGACTCGATGCTGTCTCTACAACTGTTCCTTTTACAAGGATTTAGAAGTCTCAACCTTGCTTGAAAAAGAAAAAAAAAAAAAAAAAAGCACAAAGGGCCTTTTTTAGAACAATGTCAGAAAAGAAAATGTCTTTGTGACCCACAGCAATTAGACGCTTTCCAAGTGCAGGTCTGAACATGAAAGGAGGAGTCTGATTGGCTGCTATGGGCAACATCCAAGAGGCTAGGTAGTGGATACCTTCCTAAGGGTTCTAGAGGCCTTAGAAAGCTGGTTGGGAGTATTTTTGCACAGAAAATGCATAAAAAAAAAAAAAAAGTTGGCTTTATTAACACAGCAAGTAGAGGGGTAGATAAACCTGGCAGGATAGAAGGGATGGGAGCTGACTTGTTTACGATGCAAGTTCCAGGGCAGTCAGTCGCCTGTGCTTGACCAAGTCCACCTTTTACAAAAATAATAAATGCGCATATATTTAAAATGCGCATTTTATTTTTTAAATTTTTTTTTTGCAAAGCATTGCAACTGCCATTGCTGGATTTTGGGTGTAATATACAGGCTCATGCTGTTGTGGGGTGTTTTTGTTTTTTTTTTCCCTCTAGCTCCGTATGGAGGTATAGACTTAGGTGGAGAGCTGGAGGAAGTGTCAATCACTACATTCATGTTCCAGTGCGAACTACAGGGCTGTTTGTCTTGGAGGCAAATGGGACCTGTAGTTTGTTCATTAATAGATCTCTGTGAATGTATAATACAGCTGTATGTTGCCTGCACAGATGTCAAAAGTGACCACTGCTGTGTGGAAGAAATACAGATGTAGCATAGTCCAGAAAGGTGGAGTTGGCCTTTTTTAAATGGAGATCTAGCTAAATTATTCCTATCATGGAGAAGGATTTGAATCCCTGCTGAGGTTTTACTGCTAGTTGGAACTCTGCTAATGAGATTTCCACTCCCTTCCTGGCCTGGCAAAAATTGTTGTCTTAGACAAGAAGTCAGGGAAAACCTCCAACAGACAGATATAAAAAAAAAAAAAATGGAAATCTAGAACCCCTGCACTGAACTTTTTATTGCTAGCTGTGTTGCAGATTTTTCCTCACTTCCTGTCCAGTAAAACTTTTTCAGTGGGACAGGAAATGAGGGTAGATTTCTCCAAGTCTAGGTTCACACCTATGCAGGTTGCATTTTTTTTTTTTTTTTTTTTTCCTTTTCCTTGTTGCTAGGCAGATTTAAAATGAAAAAACGTAGCAAAAAATGTACTAAATGCTTTTCTGAAGCGTTCCCATTGAAGTCTGTAGACCCAAAAACACAATGTTTGCATTCTAAAAAAGTCCCTGATCCTTTCCCAAAAAAAATGCACCGGGTGGAGATGTGAATGTGTCCCATAGGCAATCATGTTAAATGGACTGTAATCCGTTTCTGGAAACCGCTAAGGTGTGAACCTAGGGCAGGGGTAGGCAACCTGTGGCTCTCTAGCTGTTGTGGAACTACATTTCCCATGAGGCATTGCAAAGATTACAAAACTGACAGTTACAGCTATGACTTGCAGAGGCATGATGGAACTTGTAGTCCTGTGGCTCTCAGGTTGCCTACCCCTGACCTAGGGTAAGAGAGTCCTGGATTTCAGTAAACACCCCAACAGGAGTTCTAATCTTTTTTCCACACTATCCAACACTAAAATTAGGGGAAAAAAAAAAAAGTCTTGGCTGGACATGCTCTTGAGTCACAGCCAGGGAATGGCGGGGGCCCTGGACTTGCATACTTGTATCAGGTCAATAGATTACTAAGTTTTAATGACCAGATCAAGAAGACCTTTGAAAACAAGTGAGCAGTGTCAGCTCTCATAGGCTCTAGGAGGCCGGATTCTTATATTTACTTGAGGATAATTTTTTTTTTTTTCCCCCCATTGAACTCCAAAATACTATGCATACCCATAATGTGTGTTGACTTCCAATACGAGGTGGATCTCAATGCATGCTTTGATGCCTTTCCATTAATTTCAATTGAAACACACCAGGGAAAATATGCGTAGGTGTGAATCCAGCCTACAGGAAACCTTCTCATGAAAGGAATACATGTAAGCTGCCATTGTTGAGGTTTTCCTATACAGAAGCAAAGGGGGAGATTTACTAAAATTGGTGCAGCTGTGCATGGTAGCCAATTGGCTTCTAACATCAGCTTGTTCAATTAAACCTGGAAGCTGATTGGTTACTTTGTAGTGCTGCACCAGCTTTTGTAGCATGCAGTTTTAGTAAATAACCCCAACCCCCAAGGGTCTGGCTGCCATGATGATGTCTTCACTTTAATTTATACCTATAGGGGTTTCTTACATTCATATGCTGCCTTGTTTTTAGGGGTTTGACACAAAGGTCCGCAATGACAGCCTACATTTTTCTCTTTTTGACAGGTGTACTTTAATACACTACAGCAGGGGCAAGTTGCAGATACACGAGGTTCTATTCAGTGCCTAAAGCACAGGATGCATTGGGGATATAAAAGTAACTATATTCCAATTTATTGGACAGGGGGAGATTTACTAACACTGATGCACACAGAATCTGGTGCAGCTGTGCATAGTAACCAATCATCTCATTTCAGCTTGTTCAATTAACCCCTTGGAGCCAGCGCCTCCCGGCCCTTTAAGGGTTCCAGGAGGCGGTGTGCAGTTTTAGGGTCATGTAACTGTCGTGATTCGCTGTTACGGCAGTCACATGATCGGGAAAGGTCCTGATCGAAAGAGCACCGACCGTGTGTGCTGGGCGCGCGTTCTCAGCACATATGTGTTTTTTAATAGAACGCAAATGTGTGGCCACTCAGCGTCTAAGCCCAGACGCCGGGAGGCCGCACATTTGCGTTTGGCCGGCGCCAAGAGGTTAAACTTTGACAATAAGCCCTGGTTCACATATGTGCGTTACTGTGGTCTGCGATTTGCATGTGCACGAGAGCCGATTCATTTGAATGGACTCCCGTGCCCCGGGACACGCAGGGAAGACGTCCCTGCACTTCGGAAAACGCAGCCCACATTGGAACCTCGCTTCCCAGTACAGTTGCTATTTCCAGTGCGGGCGGCGTTCCATTAGACATAATGGCACCCGCCCGCGGGTCCGCATTCTTCTGTGCGGGGGTGGTGTGGTTGCACGGATTTTTGTGCGGATACGCAGCGGCACCACCCGCACAGTTGTGAACCTAACCTAAAACCTAGACGCTGATTGGTTACCATGCGCACCTGCACCAGATTCTGTGTGCACCAGTTTTAGAAAATCTCCCCCAATGGGTCTTATTCATTGATGCACAAAGTGGTGCTTCTGTTGACGGTAGTCAGTCTAAGAGTGAACCTGTCACTTTGCCCACCATTGCTAACTCTGTCCCTGCAAATTTGGGTACCACAAGGTCTGCCTAGTTTTAAAGTGCTACCATGTGCCAGTCCTTTGAGGGAACTCCTTTACTGGCTGCTAAGGTGCCTGCATTGGATGGATGAATAACAGGAGCCATGGCAGAGCTTTGAATCAGAGGAAAAGCTGAGCACTCTAGAACTGGGGTGGGAGGTTTGGGGACTCACTGGCTACACAGCGAAAGAATTGAAGGGATTTAACTTGTGCTACCTGCTCTGCAGACATGGTGGGAAAGGTGATTGGGTCACATTAGGCAGTACTTATGGTCACGATGGGCTGCTGCACATCATTATTGAATAGATCTGCATGGTGCTGGTTCTGTCTGCATTGTGATGATGCCAGGTCTGTGTGATGAGCTGTGAATGTGTCACATCCAGGAATGTTCTCCCTCCCTCCTCGTCCTCCATCTTCTTTTGATTTTTTTTTTTTTGTATGCACGGGATCTGTACAGAGTGGGAAATGTCTATTTTTCTAAATAAAGTCAGTTTGTCTGGAATGTTTTCTAGAATTTTTTTTTTTTTTTTTAAATAATAAGATTTTACTTGCTGGAAGTCACCTGAGCTACACAGATATTTAGCAGCTCAACCAAACTAATAAAATCACTAGTGATTATTCATTAGGAGTAGCAATTGATCACTAAACAGATGGAGCAAACGGCTCCATACAGAGTAAGCTACACAAGCTGCTTACAGATTGCCTAAAGCTGAACTCTGGGAAAGGTAAAAATGATCCCTTGCAGTGGGGCTGCCCCCTGCAAGGGTTAAATGCTTGTTCATGGGATTGGGGTAAAGCGGTTTTGCTTGCCTGATCCTCTGCACTGGAAGACTGGTCCCCATGGCCTCTTCTTCCCTGCACTCCAGCGGTTGGATGCTCTCTGACAGCATCAAGACTGATTTGGGGCCCAAAGCCTTGCATTAGACATGAGGATGCCAAGAAACAGCCCACGGCTGGAGCATAGTGAAGCACTGCTTGCCAATTGAGCAGAGGATTGATTTAAATTGCTTTTACCGTCCCCTATACAAAAATGAACATTTAACCCTTATAGTATGGGATTAGCCCCACTGCAAGGGAGGATTGTTACTTTACCTGGGGATGGCCTACAAGCAGCTTGTGTAGCTTACTCTGTAGAGAGCTCGGTTTAGTGATCAATTGCTGCTACTAATGGTTAAGCACTAGCCTTTTAGTTGTGAGATTAAAAGACATAGTTACATAGTTAGTCTGGCTGAAAAAAAAGACAAAAGTCCATCCAGTTCAGCCAAAAAAAAAAAAAAGTTATAATCCTATACCCACAGTTGATCCAGAAAAAGGCAAAAAACCCAGCAAAGCATGATCCAATTTGCTCCAGCAGGGGAAAAAATTCCTTCCTGATCCCCGAGAGGCAATCGGATATTCCCTGGATCAACTTTACCTATAAATGTTAGTATCCAGTTATATTCTGTGTATCTAGGAAAGAATCCAGGACTTTTTTAAAGC